TGGCAGTGGCGGGTGGTGGTTTCTCAGGGTGGTGCGTTTCAGTTGCCTCGCGTTCGAGGGCGTTTTTTCCGCGCCCGCGAGTTATTCTCCGCTTGTTAACAGTGTGCGCGCGGTGGGCGCGCGAGCCCGCTAAAGTGGCCCCGCTGCTAATTAACTGCGTTATTTTTTTACAACTCTCCTGCGTTTCCTTCTATCGTTCCCCTCCCTCCTGAGCCGGTCCTCTTCCACGACTCTCTCTCTCTCTCTCGCGGCGTCCGCGATAAGGGAATGCTCAATATTTTCCGCGAACTCCCGTTTTATATTTATCCGCCCGCTTTTATGCCCTGACGAAGGAAGAGACGCGATATTACTCGCGAGGCTCCCGATAATTCCGCGGCTTTGAGCGCGATCGAACGCGAATCTCTCGCGAACAAACGGAGGGGAAGGAGGTGTTCGGAAAAAATTGCTCATTTAGGAGCCGGTGAATTTCGATTTGCGGTCTGTAACGATAAATGTGAGTATCGTCGCGATTTTGTTCATTGTAAGGAACGTATTACATTTAATTAGGAATGTATATAAGGTGAGTCAATATCTATCACCATCTTGAATATCTTCGAGAAAGAAGAATAATTTATCACACGACCGTGTGACGTAGTTTCCGTCAGATAAACTTTCTCACCAAGATGGTAACACCTCATCTGAGGTAATGCCTCACCCTGTACATTTCTCGCACTTAGAGGGAAAGTTCCCTCGCGAAATGAGTCTCGCGAGATGGCAGATTCAAGGAAAAAAATTAAACTTCGTATCCGATTTTTAGACCTCACTATGATCTGAACAGACCATTATCTCCCCTCCGAGACTTACTCCGAGCTAAGAAACGTGCTCTCATTAAAAACCGATAGAATCGCGACAGATGACAACTGCCGGCGGGAGCTTCTTCGCCTCGCACGTCGACCTCCGTAACTTCTTCCCGGAGAAGCGAGCAATTTGGAATGCGAGCGAACGTCGCGTCTTCGAGTTCAAGTCGCATTTCTCGCAGCGTTCGTTCCGGACGCAGACGTCGAAGCGAAGGGGGGTGGGGGAGGCGTCGAGGGGAATCGCGCGGGATACGACGCGGCGAATCGACGTATAACTCTAAAACCTTAATATCGCGCCGTGTCGGATCCGCGCGAGATCGGTTGGCGGCGGCGGCGGTGAGATAGCGAACGATAGCGACGGTGTAAGGTGAAGGAGATAGCGATGGCGATGGTATAGAGGTATCTCTCTGTGCCGTGGCAGACGCGGCACCCTTCTTTTCTCCGCCACGAAAAGGCACTTGAAATAAATTGAAAATGGCTGGTATCGCTCTGGCCCCCGGATAAGTGATACCTACATCATCTACACGCGCACCAGTCGTCCCCCTTCGGCCCCTCTCCCCCGTTGGTCCCCCCGCTCGCCCCCGTCGTGAGCCAACCCTCCTCCCTTCCAGCCATCGCATCCCCTCCGCCCGGCGTTCTTTCATGAATTCGAAACGCGCGTTCGACTCGGATCGGAATCCGGTCGAGTCGCTTCAATTAATTCAATCTAGGGGTTAGGTGGGTGAGGGGGGTAGTTGGGGGAGGAGAAATGGGAGGCGGGGGAGGGGGGACGCGAGCGTGTTACGCTTCGGGAAAGCTTTGCGCGCGAGCGTTAAGGCCGCTCTTGATAATCGCGATCGTTGATGCCGGCCTCGTCGATTCGCGTTGCGCGACGTACTCGTGATGTGTCACTGCCGGGGCGAAGAGGGGATGTTAAATGTGTCAAGAATGCATTGCGGTTGATAACGGAGCAAAATATGCGCGATATCGACGAAAGCTTGTTAGCGTCCGAAACGACGTTGCGAGAAAACAAATCTTTTTTTACGCCTCCTCGTCTTCTTCGTTATCAGCCAAGTTTCGTCGTTTCGCGTTCTCTTCTTTGTGTATTTCCCCCCCCCCCTACCCCGGTTTTCCTACCCTCGCGAGAAAATAATGTCGCATGATGCAGCGCGCACTCGCCGCCGTCGAAATTCGCCGTTCCGCGCGATATTTCGCGAGTAGGCGCGTGTTAATGCAGAAGCGCATAAACGAGGGCGCGGCACACACACATTCGCGCCCCGCACATCCACGCTCACCCACACACGTATTCTCACGTACACCCGACGGCTCACGTACGCGCGTGCACGTAGCAGTAAGCCAAGGCACACACGAGCGACAAGGTGTATTGAATCGACGAGTATCATGCAGCTGACAGCTAGAGCTAATTGAATCTTGACTCTATCTATCTGTCGACCCGAGGCTGAGACTCGACCGCCACCGACGCCGCCACGAATTGCATTCCCCGTTCGGCGGTATCGCTTTCGCGTCCCCGAAGAATTCTATCCTGCCTGCGCTTCGCTTCGCTTCCTTCCTTCCTTCCTTCCTTCCTTTCTGCCTTCCATTTTTTCCTTATTTTCTTCCTTCCTTCCTTCCATCCATTTCCCTCCTTTTCCCTCCCTTCCTTTCTTCCTTCCCTTTCCTTTCGCCACTTTTCCGCCCACCGCCTGCTTTAATCCTCGCCATTTTGCACCGTGAAAATACGCTAAATAAATGCAACGCCACGTGACTTGATGAGTTCTCTCACACCACGTACTCTAGAATTTCGTTCGCGAATATTTAAAAATAAGGCCTGGAATTTATTCTTTTTCTTATGGTGTCTTGTCGTTACGTATCTGTAACTGTGGTGAAAATGAAATTTGTCTCAGAGACGAGAATGAAGGTGGATTGAATTCCTCGCAATGACGCGTCTCGAGTAACTATTTTCAATCAGACCTCGGAAATTCTTAAAATTCTCCGCAACTTGAAACCAACCGAAGAATAAGATCCCTCGTTGGTTTCGGAGCGTAATTTCCTGAATCACTTCCGATCGAAGGAAAGGAAAGGAAGAGAGAAGGCGAGAAAAAAGTCGCTTTCTCGGCAGTTATTATCTCGATCAATGTTCTGAGGGGAACACGCTTCGGACTAGCCGAGGAATCTACGGGTGAATCCGGAGTACACCGGAGTACCAATGGCGTAATCATACGCGCACGGTCGAGTCTTGGAAATAAAAAAAGGAATCTCGCGCGTAGTCATAAGCGTTAGGCATTCGCGCCGATCGAGCTGATCGCCTCCGTTCTTGTTAACGACATCGTCCGTTGGACGGCGGGTGAGGAGTGGCTGTAGTAAACGCGGCTGATGCGCTCTTCGGGAAGGGATTCCGGCCGCTGATGCCGCGGAATCTTTTTACAAGGGGTTACAAAACGAGCGGACGAGGAAGAGAGCGTGGTTTCGCGCG